ATAAACACGTTTAGATTGAATGGTAATTTATAATCAGTCACAAGAACGTCGAATCTGAATCACTTGAAAAAAACACGGGGGTGCTTAACTTTTTTCCAGGTGTATATATTGCACGGGTAGGAAAGTTTCAAAATTTTAAAATCCAAGCTACAAAATTAGTATTTTGGATGTAGTTAAAATAGCTCAATTTTAAGTCAAAGAACATAAAAATATAAGTAATGTCGTTTTATTTTCAATATAACACTTTTGATAATTATAAATTTATCTTAAAAATGTTTGGAAATGATTAGAGAATGAATATAAGAATAAAACTAGAAATTCCCATCAGATAATATATTATTATTGTATTAACAGTATAGCTAAACTTTTCCAGGCTAGCTGCTTGAATGTTTTATTTGTATGATGAGGGTGAGATACTCATTAACTTTTTAAGTTATTTATGTAGCCAAATTTTCAGTATTTTTTCTTAAAGTAAGAATGACCTCTACAATAAAAACTTAGTATTTTGGATTAATCAATGCCTATCTTTTGCCACAAAGTGTTAATGGCCACTGTATAGTAGATTGTCCCTCCTTGTATTCAGCTGATAAGTAGTCTATGTATTATAGTTTGTTGGGACAGATAATGGTTGTGAAAATATCAATCTGTTAAGTTATACTTTGTTCAATGCAAAATTTGAATAGTGAAAGCCCCAACTATCACTCAGTGCTAGTAACAAAATTAGCCTTCACATCCTACCATAAAAAAGACACAGAAACCTAAAACTCAGAAAAATTATGGTCTGATTCAAAGATATGATGTTTATTGTAGGTAATTTCAATATGATTTGAAGTGGATGATTGGTAGATAATCTAACATCTTTGGATTTGCAAACAGGGCTTGGAGAGGTAGCTGACTGAAATTGGCACAAACATTAATCTGGTGTAATGATGGCTGTTATATTTACTTATTTAGAAGTAATAAGTACAAATCGTAATTCTGTGCTTGTGAATTAAAGTATATTATTGACATTTTTATTGTGTTTTAATAACTTTAAAAACAATTTACTGAATTTTGATGTTGAAAAAGTGGATGTTGTGTTAAAGTATTTGACATTAATTTTAAATCATTTATTCGTATTACATATACTATTGCAGATGTCCATGTTTGACATTGTAGTAACATTCCTACAACATTATTTAGAATGAAACCAAACTACAACTTTCCAACAGTGTTGCAAAAATGTTATGTTAGTAACTGTTTCATGTTAATGTTTTATAATTTTTTTTTTTCAGACAGCAAGCACTATTTCATGTCCTTTTGGCTTACTCTGTGTATAACACTGTAAGTAAAAAATATTTTTAAATACTGCATTATTGACCTAATAAAACCAATTTTTTCCAAAACATACTTACCTCCACTGACACTGTAGTTATTCCTCGATGTTGGCTTTGCCTATCTAAGCATTGGTCTTGCATACTCCAGTCTTTTATACCCCACTTAAATGCCCTTTGCAATATCTAATTTGCAAATCTATCCACCAATGTCAATGCGCTTTCAATTCTGGTACTCTATAAAAGCACCTCACTCAGATAATGTAATCACTTTTTTCTCCACAAAGCGTTAGTCATGGTTTTCTCTGATGAAATGATGTGCCTTGTTCTATTATGGATTGTGATTTTTTGCCTTGTGGATTTCCGTATAATTATAATTTTGTTTAAAGAAAATCGAATGTGATATCTGCGGGTATGAATTCCCGTATTACCATTATCAGCAGGGCAGCTAATCTGACCTCCCCTATTCCTCCTTTGTTATCTAGCATTTCTCTACGGTCGAGGGGGGGGGGGGTCACTCTCAGTTGAGGCTGTCCATGTTGTGATTTTTTGGGAGATGGAACATACATTCTGCCCAGGGGCTTCTGAAACTGCTTTTTTTGTTGTTGTTGATCCTGGTTACTGGGGAGAATTTGGACTCTAATGCCTTTCCTTACTAATTTGGATCAAACACCTCCTACTCCTTTTTCTTCAATTAGACACTTAGGTTTGTAAGATTTTGGGGCTCTTTCCTCTGTGACCTTTGAGTCTACTCCTCCCTTGTTGGTGGAAATGATGGGAGGGGGGACTGTTCAACTTTTCCTCCTTCACCTGATATTCCTAGTTCATGCTGGGAAATTTACTGCCTTATTACATTAGGGGATAGATAGACTTGTATCATCATTTGTCTGTTTGCATGTTTTGGCTTTTCACCTCCTGGTAGACGTATATTTTGATTCTACAGAATAATTTTTTTCTTTTTTTTGGATATGTGGAGTTCCAAGATGGTTCGTGTTATCACTTTGAACCAATCACATTTTCATGTATTTGTTTGATCCTCACTCTTCCTCTGTGGTGTTTCTTTTCCCCAAAAAAAATTGTTGGCAGCCTATCAATGTTCCCACATCAATTTGTGAATGAATGTGGTCTTCTACTGACTTATATCTTGGTCAGATTGACTGATTCTGTTCTTTCTGTAGAGATACCTTGGTGGAGGGAGTTTGTCTACCTGCTGTAGTCTCTGTGTCTTACATGTGACTACTTTTCATTGTCACTTGATGTTCGCATATGTCCCAGGGGCATTTGTATCGAAAATTGGCATCTCCTTTGCTTTTTTGTTGTTGTTGATTTCTAGACCTTCTTTGGCTCTAGCAGCTGAATAGATTCAGACCTTAGTTTCAGGGCCCCTCCAATCAAGGCAACCAACAGCAACAGCATTGATATCTGCCTATGTTGGGGGGGGGGGGTCAATTAGAGTTAGGTTACAACTGTTGATGGACACCTGGTATTCCTTCAGTTCAGATCTTTGGGTACTTCAGGTTCTGGTATCAAAGTTGGTCTTTTCATTCAATTCTCCATCTCCATTATTCTCCCAACCTTAATAGTGGAGTGTAGATTTTTGTTTCACGGCTATCAGAGTTACTGGTCACAGGAGTGGTAGTAACAGTTGATCCATTTTTTCCTGGATATTATTCCTGTTTATTTGTTATACCTGGGACAAGGGGAGATTGGCAGATGATCATCATTCTTTCTTATCTCAACCAATTCTTTGATCCTCCCAAGTCCACAATGGTGTCCTTTCTCACTCTACATTGGCATTCTCCACCAGGTCTGTGGATGTCCCAGTTTGAGGTTGCTAAGGCATTTCTCCACATTCTCATAGTAAATTCATGATGCCTTTAGTTACATTTCATGTACAGGGATCAGGTTCTACAGTTCTACAAGTTTACCCCATGATTTCAGCTCAGCCCAGCCACCTCTCATCCAGCTCTAGGCTATGGAATGGGCAGTCAGACTCTTACTTACAGGAATGGTTCTATCTCTTTGAGTTTGTGGGCTTCCCTCAAATCTCTGATTTTTGGAAGGATGAGAACAAATGCTATCCCTTCAGTAGTCCCAGTGGGACTAATGGATCTGGAACTTCATTCCACTGGATCTTCTAGTCTCTTTGATCAGGAGCAACATCTTAGTTTTTGAGTGGTGGTTGGTTTGGATCAACCCTACCTTTAGCATGTATGTGTGTATATATATATATATATATATGTGTGTGTGTGTGTTTATATACATGTCTACTGCCCCTCTGTTCCAAGTTTATCTCTTCATAGATACTTCCCTTTAGGGATGAGGTGTGCAAATCTTCATTCTGCATCAATAATTTAGATCTTCTTGCTGTCTAACAGACAATAGTGCAAAGTCTAGATCTCTTGCAGGGGAATATTCTCATGAAACATTTCATCAATTCCACAGTGGATTCTTAAATTTATTGTCATGGAGACGTGCATTCTTGAGGTTGTTGTTTTTGAAATTTGGTTATTTCTTTACAATGGTTATTCCAATCATATCAGCCTCCTGGCTTGCCATTTTTCTGGGGTGATGAATGTCTTAGCAGATTGTCAGTCTCAGCCCTCACTTTCTCCTGACTAAATGGATTCTCCATTGTGAGGTTTTCCAATAGAGTTGCTCTCAGTTTAGACCTCCACTTTTTGATACTTATTGATACTCTCAGCCACAAGATTTGGAGTCTCCAATACCTCAGGTTGGGTGGTAGATGTATTCAGTCCTGATTGAATGGGATTGCACATTTATGCCTTTCCCCAATTCATCTTTTACTCAGAGTTCTGGCTATGTTTTGATCCTCTACTAGTGAGTTGTTGCTAGCTCTGGATTGGCTGGCCGAACTATGATTTCCTCTTCTGCAGTACCTTCAAGTGAGTCCACCTCTGTCTCTTCCTCTTTGGTTAACTTTATTGAGGCATCCTCAATCCCACATTCTATACCAAGACTCTTCCAAGTTCATTGGGGTTTAACGTCTAAAGTTGCCTGGGGTGTGCCTCACAAGGAGTTTGTACCCACTTTACCAAACGTCTCCACCATATCTTGTTTTTATCTGGTTTTCACTTGAGTTTAACTTTGTCTTCTGTTGTTTATGTCAGACAGATGAGTTCTGTTCCTTTTGTTGAGTAAGGCATACATGATCCCGTCATTCCAAGCCTAGGGTTGTGCCTTTCGGACTTCTTCAGGTGGAAGAGAAAGCTTGTCCACTTCAGTTTTGCTTCCTTTTTCATCGTAATTCCGGTGGTTCAGAACACATCACTCCATGGCTACAGGTTGGGATCTAATCACAAGTATATCTATATATAACATTGTGGTCCAATTGCCCTAGTCACCACTGTGGGATATAGGGACCAAAGACCCCCTTAATTCCAACTCCAAGTTGTGGAACCTTGGCTATCTGGTTGAGACTGGCCTATAATGATTACTTATGTACTATTCTACCCTTGATATAGGTATTAAGATCTAAAAGATCTATTATCTTTAATTATATAGGTATTAAGATCTAA